TAATATGTTTTTTTAGTGTGTTGTGAAAAGTGTCACACCAAATAACTAATGGTGTGGCACTGTTCACAAAACAATAAAAAAAAATTTGGTGTCAAATATGCCGTTTGACACTAATTATGGTGTTATGCAGTCCAGTTGGACCTGCTCTGACGATTAAGCATTAAGACGACTTTTGGACCGATGAGTTAGGCTGCACTGCAGAGAGAAAAGGCATATCCCAACGGGCACCGAGTATTTAGGGTTTTTATTCGCCTCATCATGCATTTTACAGTTTCCACGCACATTTGCTAAAAAAATAGTGGAGGATGTAACCAAGGGCTATAACTAAGGACTTCAAAGGATTTTATCGATATCAAGTGATACGGTTATACAAAAATTGACAGTAAAATGCATTGTTTTTAGGTAAAAATGACTGTTTAGATGATTAGAGTTTATAGATTGGTAACAAAAATAATTGAAGATTCGGTTTGACCAAAAGAATGAAAATCATCTCCCCGGTTCGATCTTAATTATATAAACAATGCATTAATATCGATTCACCTACGAACTTCATCATTTACTGGCTAAAAGCGAGAGATCGTAAATTAAAAAAAAAAAAAAAGCGAGAGATCGAGTTCAGTATGCGTAATTCTATGTTGACCACTTAAAAACAAAAAAAACTCATATTTTGAGATTTTTGTTTCTTTTCAAATTTGACCAAAGGACAAAAAATTGAAAAACAAAAAAAAATTGACAAGACCGATTTGATTGTCGTGGTGAAAATTACGAAAAGATTGGATGACAGAAACGAAGGATTATCCATAAGAAAAAATTATAAAAATATTGGAATTACGAGGAAAATAGGACACGTGACAGAGAGAAAATTGGGGAATATGATTGTGGTGGGGCCCACATAAGGGTCTAGAGATAGATGATTGCGAAAGGCAAGCGTAGGGCCAAGAACCAACCAAAGAGCCCTTTTCTTTCACCTTTGTATCCTTATTATCCCATTTTCCCCCTCTTTTATTTGATTTAATCCACATTTCCTTTGGCTCTTCATGAAAGGGAAAGGTGTAGAATATATCCTCGTCTTGTGTGATTTTTTTTAATATTATTTTATAATTGTTACAAATGTGATCTTGTTCAAGCCAGACCAAAAATTTATTTTGACCTATTTTTCGGTAAGTCAATAGTAGACTAGGTCTTAATTGGAGGGTAAACATTACAGTAAGGTGTTTAGAGACTCTCCACGGTATTAGGAAATAGGAAACAAGCAATTTCTTGAGAGATAGAGTGAGAAACTATAAAATAAAGGTATTGTGGACTCGTTAAAACAAGCACCAAAAGAGCATTAACCCATTTAAAGAATTTAGTAACAAAAAAAAAACATTTTTAAAGGATAGCACAACTTTTTTTCTCCGGAAATATTGGACAAATAGTTGTAAAAAAAAAAATTCATAATATGTCACGTTTTCACGACGATATATAATGCTTACAATATGAATTTCTGTTTTACTTTAGCGATATGAATTTGTAATGATTTTCGATGTATAATCTACATAATGCTTACTATATTGTTGTTGATGAATTCCTTTCGACGGTTCACGGTTCATGTTAGAGTGAAAACAGAGAACCTCGTCGAACAACTTTTATTTATTTAGTTGAAGAAAGAGTTGGAATTTGGGAGATGTGAAGAGTTCTTCTCTAAATGTGGTAACGAACAATCGACAATCTAATAGTACTAATATTTTGTAAGAACAAGAACGTGACAAGTGGGTTTTCTTACTTGGTAAAATATTTATGCTGCTTGTCCCATGCAGGTTGTGATATATTATTAAAAAAACGACCTAAATCCATTATTTGTATACTATTGAAATCTTATTTGAATGCGAAGAGTCAAGGGGTTATTGCCTTATTGGTTTCTCATTTTTTTAATTAATCATGAAAATTCTGATAGTTTTGGATCAGGCATATATAATGCGAAAAATAGTCTACTATGGGCTCTAGCAGTCCATAAAAAAATATCAAACGTCTTTCATAAACAGTGTTTTGTAACGTACTACAGAGAGAAATATCTAGTTATGGATGTAAATGGTAACAGATGAATTTTGCAGAATTTTTGGTTACTTTTTGTGGAATTTTGCGGAATAATGTTAAATTCAAATGGTAACAACTGAATTTTGTGGAATGTTGCAGAATTTTTTCAAATAAATAAATTATTTAAACGTATGAAAATATTAATTAACTTAATTGGTTTGTCAAAATTAAATATTTATGTCTATAAGTCTATTAAATGTTACAAATAATAATAATATTTATTAAATTAACGAAATTTATTATTATTTGTTTTACTTTTGGTTTCCAAATTTTTGTTATATAATTTAGTTCATACTTTCGATTCTATTAAAATCAAATATTAATATATTTTTAAATATAACTTACTTCTTGTCAATTATTTCAGCGAATTTATATTTTTAACACACGTTATTTTCTTCATTTAATTTCACGTATTCCTCAATTCTTTTATTGTTGTGCAACTAGTAACAAAAAAAAAATGTATTCCACAACTTTTCCACATAATTCCTCAAATATAGAGTTACCACAAAATTAAACTTGCAAACTTGAAAACATTACAAAATTAGAATACATTATTCCTAAACATATATTAGCGATTCACTAATAATACTCATCCTTTTTGTTTTCAATTCAATGTAGTTGTAAACGTTTAATTTCATCATATTAACTAAAAAAATGCATAATAAATAAAGAACCGAAAAAATGGTGAAACGAAACAATATTCCTACCCCGTTTTTGGTAAAACTAAACAATTACACAAGTGGTATGTCACCCTTTAGAGTCATAATTGCAAAGAAACAAATGATCTTAATGTTAAAAAAAAAACAAATAATTCCATAGATTTTGTCTTTTAGTGAAATCTATATATTCTTCAACTTTCAGGCTGGTGACAATAGTAAAAAAATTAGCTCAATTCAACACAATTCCACCAATCTTCAGTCACCATCTAGGGCCTATATACATGTTCAGTTTAGCATTTCAGGTGAAAAGTCCGGTAATTTGAACATCCAGCTTTACTATTTAAATTATACATGTAAACAAAATTATGTCCGGTAATTACTATTTTGGATATTTCGAGTAATAAACAAGGGACAATTACAAAAATGCCACTTTTTGTGTGCATATTTGCAAGAATGCCACTTAGAGGTGTCCATTTACAAAAGTGTGACATTTTTGTAAAGTGGTACTTGAAAAGTGGCATTTTAAAAAATTTCTCAATAAACAAACATATCAATAAAGAAAACTCTCTTATCCATGCTGCATTTGAACGCTTATCTTAAAGATAAGTAAAATGAAACGTCATAGAGTTTTTGTTGATGTTAATCCCGGTTTAATCAAGCCAATGTTTTAATTAATCAAGTAAAAAGTGAAAATCGCAAACAATATGATGGGGGCGAATATTAAACTACAATATATGTCTGGCTCGTATTTTTCGAAATACTTTACTTCTGACTATATGTAAACAATTACTGATTTTATATCTACAAAAATACGAAGTAATATAATGTTGATGATAACTTATCAACTTGGAGGGGAACCCGTTTAAATTCATTAGCAGGCTTATAAAGTATAAGGCCCAAATGAGTAGTACTGTAGAAGGCCCAATAAGTAGAAGACCAGTAGGCAATAAGTTCTTCTTGATTCGCTCCTTTTGTTTACAATCCATGTGAGGGCTATTTGACTATGGAGCAACTTTTGTTCTCATCATGCGTGACGTAGGAATGGAGACATTATTATTCTGGATCCAAGATTTGATCCCTATCTGTGTATATTGTTTGAATGCCTTTTGTGAGATTTCTTAGTGACCATAATACATCAACTGCTAGTATGAATATAGAAAAATAATACATCAAGTTTTGGTTTCGTGTAGATAACTTTGGTTTTTGGCCATTTGTAAAATTTTACATAAATTGTTTTGTTTACGTTACCTGACTTTTACAGCAATATGCAACATGAATAGTTTTTAAATTTGGTCGAGGTCAATGTCAATCAATGGACTTGGTTTCAAACATGTTGCAAATTACATACATATACGGCTAGTAGCGTTTGAAGACCATAGCATCGATTTTTTACGTCAGGGAAAGATAAACTTACATGATCACATAGGAAAAATGAAAACAAGTTTCGAATAATATATACGCATTTCGATCGATCAAGTGTCTGCAATTGCTTCCTTAATTGCAAAAAGTGGTCAAAAGCTACAAAAGACACTTGTGATGCTAGAAACAACAAAAAGCCAAATATTTCATAATTTAATTTCCTTAGTTGCCTAAACAAATCCAATCGCTTCATTCAGACTGTCTTCTTGGACATATTCGAACTTCAGTGCAAAATCAATATTACTCTATTCCTTGATTCAATCACAAGCTTTTCGAATATATCAAAGAAATATTTCAAACACTACGACAAACAAATCAACAAAAGAACCGGCGATGGTTTAGGAGTTTCGACAAGTTTTTAGTTTTGCTATAATAAATATTTTATTCTGTATATGTCGGCGTTTATTTTACGTTTGAAAATTAAACTTCGTAATATTTCATATTGTAGAAACATGTTTATTAGCAAAAAATAATCGTTTAACGTCAAAGGCACAGCAAATCCCTCCTCCTAACCACTTCCACCTGTTACGGTCCGACACATAAAACTATTAAATTTATTTCAATTTAAAAAACAATTATTTCCATTTATTAGAAAACCCCATTAATTGCTACAAAATTATTAATATAATTATTAAACAACTATATAAACCCTTCATTGCGGCCATTAATGGTCTTCCCCTTTTCCTCTGTTCTTCACTTTCGGGAAAAATTTACAAACTTTATCCTCTATTCGATGAATCTCTGATCTGGGTTTTAATTACTTACGCTCAAATTAAGTTTTTTTGACACCTTAATTTTAGATCTGTACTTTTGATTTTATCTTTCTCCCCTAAAGAATTGAGCTTGATGGAGAACGAGCTGTTTATGAATGTCGGAGTTTCTCATCCGCCGGAGATGACGACGCCACCGCCGTCTTCTTCGTCGGAGATGCTTAACTGGGTTTCAATGGAGACTCAACCAATGGAGCCAAGTCTCAGTCGTAATCTATCTCGCGATTGCTTTTTCTGGGAAAAGTCAACGGAACAGAGCATCTTCGATTCGGCTCTGAGCTCACTCGTTTCTTCACCGACGCCGTCAAATTCTAACTTTTCCGGTGGTGGCGGAGATCATTTCGTCATCAGAGAGTTGATCGGGAAATTGGGTAACATCGGAGAGATCTACGGAACTCCGGCGAGCAACGGAAACGGTTCTGGGTCGTGTTACGCAACTCCGATGAGCTCTCCACCTCCGAGATCGATGATGGCGACGAATGCTTCGCCGTTGGCGGAATTTTCCGGCGACCCTGGATTCGCAGAGAGAGCGGCGAGGTTCTCGTGTTTCGGTAGCCGGAGTTTTAACGGCAGAACAACAAACTCGCCGTTTCCGATTAATAACGGATCCGTCGCTGCAACGGTGGCAACCAGCGGGAAAATGACACGTGTCTCGAGCACACCATCTCTCAAACCCTTAACGTCTCAGATTCCCGCCGGCGAATATTCCGGCGAAGTATCCCGGAAAAGAAAAGTGAAATCTAAGGATTATTCTTCTTTCAAAGCTTCCCCATCTCCAAATTTATCAAAGGTTTCATAATCGAGCTTTCGAATTAGCACAAACAAGTTTTTAAAAAATTGATTTTTTCTGTTTTATTTTCTCAGGAGATTGAAGAGAAGGAAGATTCAGATCCGAAGAGGACCAAGAAATCAGAAGAAAATGCAGATAAGACGAAAGAACTTGATCCTTACAAAGATTTCATACATGTCCGAGCTCGACGAGGCCAAGCCACCGATAGTCACAGTCTCGCCGAAAGAGTCAGTCAAACTTTTTTTATTTTTCTTACTGTAATTACAAATTTTAATGATCTAATTATGTCCTAATTAGTTGAATTAATCATGGAATTTAAATTATGTGTTGTGATTTTTTGATTTAAAAGGTTCGAAGAGAGAAAATAAGCGAGAGAATGAAGCTGCTTCAAGATCTTGTTCCTGGATGTAACAAGGTGAGAATGAGTTTTTAGTTTTGAGTTAATGATTAGGATCAGTAATTAATTTGTTTTGTAGTTGTGTAATGTAGTTGTGATTAAAAATTAATTGTAGGTTACTGGGAAAGCACTGATGTTGGATGAAATAATAAACTATGTCCAATCATTGCAACGACAAGTTGAGGTAAATTCCATTAGATTATTGGTCCGCTTTAAAACTCTTTGCATTATTTCCTTATCACCTTTTTAATTATTATTTTTGACGTAATCACTTTTTTAATTAAATACACGATTTCAAATTTTTTTTCTTAATTAATGTTTGATAATTGCAGTTCTTGTCGATGAAGTTATCTTCAGTGAACACCAGGCTGGACTTTAACATGGAAGCTCTCGTGTCGAAGGATGTAAGTCACCGTCACAAATTTAAACAACTTTTTAATGATTTGTATAATTGACCATTATTATTAACAATAATTAGTTTCTGATACAATCGTGTGTTAAGATTATTCTAACTAAATTCTCTTAATTTTCTGACAGATATTTCCTTTCCTTTTTTTTTTGTTTTTTGGGATCAAAACAGATATTTCCTTCAAGCAACAATCTAATGCATCAACAAGTACTTCAGTTAGAATCTTCATCAGAAACTTTACAATTGAACCCTAACATTTCTTCCAATAACATTATGGACCCATTGGAAACTTCTGAAACTAGAAGTTTCGTTTCTCATTTACCATCACTTACACATTTCACTGACTCTATTTCGCAGGTTTTTAATGTTCATATCACTTTATTTTGTTAACATTATAAGAATCCTCGTATTTTCGTCTGCGAAGATCTTAACTTTTTCGGTTTTATTTCCAGTATTCAACATTTTCCGAAGATGATTTACATAGCGTTATTCATATGGGTTTTGCGCAAAACCAGATCCGCGAATCGAACCAAACTCAATCACATACTTTTCAAGGTATGAAATTTTAAACCATGTATTCTTTCTGTTGCATTTAACATAAAAAACACACACAATAAGTTTGAGATGTGGAATTTGTACTATGCAGGTCCATCAAGCCAAGTACCATCACACATGAAAGCTGAACTTTGATCAACCATTATTTGTAATTTTTACAAAGAAAACTATTGGAGTGTCATTTAAGGGTCTCGAGGATAGAAAGTAAGAAAAGGATTGATGGGTGTACATAACAAGAAGCATGAATTGGACCACACTGAATGCAAAAATACATTTCTGTAATCATCTTCACATATATCAAATAACATCTTCTTTTTATTTTTTTGTGTCATTGTGTTAATTTTAGATTCCGATTCATTTGTGGGGCTCAATTGTATTGTTACCCACTTTATTACTGTCGGATTCT